AGGCCCGGAGGGTGAATCGAAGCTCGTCGGTGCACTGGTAATAATTTCAGATTCCGTGCCAGCTGACGCGACTCCTGCAGGCGAACGCTGACAGGGCATTCATTAAAGCCAACCGTCACAACAAAAAGTGAATGCATTTCGTCGAGCAGTGTTCAGCAACAGGAAAAGGAAAAATACGTTGAAGGATCCAGTGGTGTTTCCTCTCTCGTTATGAGAAGTGAGAAAGGTATGTATGCTCGAACACGCATGCACAAACTTTTAATAGCATCTGCTGAGGGGGGGGGGTAAACTTCAATTGTTGAACAGCCAGTGCGAATGAACGTTTGCTTCTCAGCTGTTAAATATACGCTTGTTTAAATGAGTGAACTGTTCAAAGTCTAACACCGACATGAATCAGTGAATCGGTGATCAAAAGTCAAGGACTTACCGATGACAATAAAGGCGACAAAAACAACAAGCATGACTTGTCGTAGCAGGGACCACCTGATCATCGCCGTCAGCGAATCCGCACGTAAAACAAAACGGCTCTATCGTATCCTTGAAGATGCGGCAGTCTTGCTGAAACTGCGGTCACAGAAACGGATCGCGGATCAGCAGTGGCTCTGATCAGCCGGATAGACGAAGGAGAACGAGTGTGGCCCTGGAGAAGACGATGAAACGTCGACGACGAAGTCTAACAGCTGAGTGACGAGAAACGTTGCGAGTTGAGCTTCATGCCATTTGTCTTTCTCCGTTCCCGCGTTTCTCCCTCTCTCCCTCTTTTCCTCTCTCTCCCTCGCTGGCTGGCCGTAGGTTTCTTAGTTGCGAGGCGGCAGCAAACAGTCGAACGGAAGCGAGGCCACGCAATGATAAAACTACGATATTGTTACTCAACAAACGCCCGTCAGTCTGTCGTCTGTCGTCCGTCCAATTGCACGTCGGCAATCGACTGACGGCAGCAGCAGCGGCTGTAGCGGAAGAAAAGCAACTTTTAGTCTGTTCTCTTGTGCATGTTCTTCCCTTCGGCATGCGCTGCCGTTAATCATCGTACGCAAGAAGATTCGCCTGCTCTTCTTAACGGTGACGTCCGGCAACGGCAAAGTACTCAACAACCGCCATTCGCTGTCGTCGGCTGGCTGTCGAACTTACTACCAATTATATTCACTTAACTCAAAGGCTTCGCAGCTCGCTCCTGCCCTGGATGAAGCCTCGATCAATGGCACTGCTGATGAGGTAAACTTACAAATATGAGGAAAGTCTTTCACTCAACCACTTTGAACGACGTATGCTGTCATTTTAATAGCTGACGAATGACTTGTCCAGGACCAGAACTGATGGCGCGCACTGGACTGTCCTTTGCTTCTAGATGCCCATGGTAGGGGAGACATTAAAGCAGGCCATGGATGAATGGTGCTCTAACACCTGCTATGCCAGATGCATCTGATTCAATTTTTCTTGGCCAGAACCTTCTTCGCAACTCATCGCAGACAATGTTTCAGGAACTGGTACTGTTTAAATACACAATATAAATATCATACATTGTTCATACGTCCAAGTATGCAATATGCCGTGAAATTCGATTGCAGAGAAGTCATTCATTATTTGACGTATTCGGGCGTACGCGCAACTTATGATGTAATTAGAAGCTTTCCTTGAGACATGGATGCTTGCCCATATCGTAAACAACGCGACGATAAACTCTCGTAAGCGGTTCATTCATAAACATACAGATAGTTGATATATTGGTGATAGTCGTCACGGCCCTTCAAGCTTGCGATGAAAAGTGAATG